AGAAAACATTTCAGAAATCTTCATAGGTGCTCCCTTCCTTCTTTGGTTCCATACCAAACTGTATGTTCATAGGGTGAAATGCCAGAAGCCCAGTCAGAAATCAGCCCCATGCTGTTGTGAGAAAATTCTTAGAGTTTAGATGGGTTTGGTGTGTTGATATTCCAGGTCATTAAATACACAGGACATTCATAAAGACCCCAAAAAGGTAAAACTAGAGAGTTAAATCTAAAACAGTCCTAGAGTCAAGGCTGCTCTATTTTCACCTTATTAAATTTCAAAACAAGCCTCTAAAGAATCAGCTTTTCCATAAATAATTTACTTGACTGGCAATCAAACGGGCAAAGGATGCCAAAATAAACATCAATAATCTCTAAGAAATGGTAACACAATGATGACACTCACCATGTGAAAAGTCCTAGTCATGTGAAAAAACTGTCAGTCATATAATAGAAACAAACTCAGAAATAAGAAAGATATTGGAATTAGCAAAGATGCTATACAGTGAATTTTAAATAATTTAAAAATTTCAAAGATGTAATGGAAAACACAAACATAATGAAAAAAATGGTTGTATGAAAAATAGAATTTCTAAAACTAAAGAATACATTTTCTGAAAGAAAATTTCACTGGATGGGCTCATATAGAATAGACTGTACCTAAAAAAAGTCAGCGACTTAAAGACATGACAATAGAAACTCCCAAAACTTAAGCATGGGGTATAAAAACTAAATATCAACAGATCTTTAGTGATCTGTGGGATAATATCTAACATTGTCATGTAGGTGTCATTAGAATCCCAAATGAGAGAAGAAAAAAATGGACTAAAAAGTATTTAGTTGAAGAATTGTGGCCAAGTATTACCAGAATTTGATAAAAACTGTTACTTAGGTGCACTTGTCAACATGGTAAAGGGAAACCACATTAAGACACAGCCAGATTCCAAAAAGTTGAGTGAGGGAAACAAGTTAATGAGAGGGCCTCCCCGGTGGCGCAGCGGTTGAGCGCTGGGTTGCGAAGCTGCCCGCGGCCTCTGCGGCGCCGGTTCGATCCCCGGCTGCTCCCCGGCCACCGGAGGCGGGTCCCACATGGCGCGCAGACCTCTCCTGCCGCCCGCTGCTCCCCTCAGCAGTGTACTTCGGTCCTTCTGCCTGCTCTGCTCCCCGCTCTGGCTCTGGTGAATTCTCTCACCCTCCCGCGCTTCTGACTGTACCCAGTGCATGTATAAACAAACAAATAAATAAATAAACATGCCTCTATTAAAAAAAAAAAGTTTAAAAAAAAAAAGTTAATGAGGGAAAAAAAATTAAATTACCAGAGACAAATTAAGCCATGTTAAATATAGAGAATAAAGATGAGATTGTCGCATCAGAAATCATGTCAGCTAGAAGATAATGTAATATCTTTTTAAGTGATGGGGGGAGGAAACCCGAAAAACAAAATCAACCAGCTGCTATTAACCTAAAATACTCTGTTCAGCAAAAAATATCTTTCAGAAATAAAAGCAAAATATTTTTGGCCAAACAAATGCTGACTTATACTGTAAGAATGAAATATGTGAAAGTGTGCTATTTGCTTTTTATTTGTGTTTAGCATATTCTAGTTTATGTAAATTTTATTTTTTATCCAGTGAAATTTTTTGATTCCATCTCTTGTGACAATACTTCTGGTTTTAGTCAGTAGACTAGCCTCAAATATGGCGGTCTATACTTTGTGGTTTTTATATTGCAGTTTTGAGAAAATTGTTTTTGTTGGTCCTGGAACTTGGTCTTAGGAACTTTCCAGATTGTAGGACACTGGAATGCTTCTTTACATGACTTTTGAAGTACCCTTTAAAATTTATGCTTGGGGGATGGATTGTAGTTCATTTCTCTATATTTAAGAGTTTATCAAAATAATTTTTCAAATTTTAATCTGTAAATGAATGGTTTTTAGAATATTTATTAGTACTGTAAAGTCATTTGATATTAGTTGATAATACTTGAAATTTCAAGGTTGGCCAATATGTGTGTTGAAAATTCTTTTGATGCTTTATTTAATGTGCACAGAGTTTGGATAAGCATCAAAGAGGAAGGTTGTTGAACTGATGCTATTAAATGTCAAACATTTTCTGTGCCAGATGATATATTTTAGGATTCAGTCTTTGACAAGTTGACTCAAGAGTTAACTTGTCATTATTTGTTCTATTCCTCACTAGTTCACAGGAGACCTATAACTTGTCATCACAGGATTTCTTTTGACTAGAAAGTAAATTTGAAGTTTGAAATGCTCAGTTAATGGCAGGATTATATTGGTATTGTAGGAGGGTCTTGGATTTTGGATTTTTCTCTTCTTGCTGAAATACCCATTATACCTTTTTGTTTACAAGCAGTTTCAAAGATAAGTTAGAGCCTAATTACCAGGTTATAAAAAAAGTTTGTAAGAATCCAAAAAAAAGGTAAAATTTTCTCTTCACCTAACCTCCTGAATGTAGCAAAGATGTGAGTTTTGATTGTTTGTATCATTTAGGGGCTTGGTATTTCTCAGGGAAATTACCTGAATACAGAGTTTCATTTAGACAAATATACTTTGAAATAGAATGCTTTTGAGCTAAGGACGATGTAATATAGACGAAAAGGCTAAAGTATGTCACGAGTATTAGAGCAAGTGTCAGAATTCTTCAAAAAGAAAATTGCAAAACCTGTAGGTCAAGGCTGTAGTGATGGCGTGGAAGATAAAGCATGTAGGTAAAAATGTCAGAAAGTAGGAGATGAAGATTACAGGCAGAAATGTCAGGGGAAAAGTCGTAGTTAAAGGAAGTTCAGAAGATGTTAGAAGTGAGTGCAGTGAGGTGCTGGTAGCATTGTCCTCCTCCAGAATATTTCAGTAAGGGACATCAAAGGAAAGATAGGTGGACTTTGATTTTCTTTTTTTTTTATAACTATTTTTTTAATTAATTACTTTATTTATATAAGCACTGGGTACAGTCAGAAGCACGGGAGGATGAGAGAATTCACCAGAGCCAGAGCAGAGAACAGAACAGGCAGACTGATGAAATACACTGCTGAGGGGAGCAGCGGGTGGCAGGAGAGGTCTGCGCGCCATGTGGGACCCTCTCCGTTGGCCTGGGATCGAACCGGCACTGCAGAGGCTGCAGGCAGCTTCGCAACCCAGCTCTCAAACTCTGCGCCACCAGGGGAGGCCCGACTTTGATTTTCTTTTAACCTTAGGACCAATGAATAATCAGCAATGCAGAACATGAACAATCCTCCCCTTTCCCCAAATAATCAAACAGAGCTCCTTCAGCTCATGTCTTTGGGTTGAATCCAAGGTAGCTGTCTGAACATCTGAAATTAAGATTAATTTTACTATGGTATAAATAAACTTGAAATGTATCAGTGATTAACTTATGTTTCAAATCATATTTATATCTAATTATTGGAATTTAGAGCTATTATGCACCCACGAATACTGTACCAGTCCACTGAGATGCTGGAAAGCTGTCTTTGCTTGTCTGTAGAGTTTGGAGTCTAGCAGCTGGGACGCTGACAACAGTTGATAGGGCAAAACAGCTGTTCAGCAGTAAGAAGGTACATTGCTTAAGAACTGAGCATAGGAGGGAGATCAGGGACAGAGTGTCAGGGATTTTCTTGCAGAGTGTATATACCTTTGGGAGAGGAATCAGTGGAGTAGCTAGAGAACAGAAAATATTTATTACAAAGACATGGAGAATAAATTGGTTTATGTATATTTGTCTGTCTCTGTTTTTCATGTAAAAGAATGGCAAAGTTGGAGGGAAAAAATATGGGTCAGTTAATGAAGGCATTTAGATCTTAAAAACTCCAGACCTACAAAAAGACAATGATCAGGAAGTAATGTCATTAGCTTCACGTTTCAGAATGTTCATTCTGACACCCCTGAGGAATTAGGAATTAGCGAGGTAGAGAATTGGGAAGGAGCTTCGTTTAGGAGGGGTTTTTAGTGGCCTCAGTATACGCATTATGGAGACCTGAATAAGCAAGGTTGGAATGACACCGGTGTAGTTCCTGGGAACTACAGTCAAAAAATACTGACACTAAATCCAAGTGGTGATGATTGGAGAGAGGTACCAACTGATAGTTAATCCAAAATTTCTGGTAGGATAAATAAATAGTCATAGTGTCAGGAGCAGTGTAGTATAACGATGAAGAAGTATTTGACATACATGTGGCACATTATGATAAAGACATCAAAAAGTATCAGTTGGTATAACGGCTTGTTAGTGATTGATATTACATCTCTTGAGTAAAAAGGTAATATTAATTACGATCCTCATTTTGACAATAATGAAACCGAGACCCAAACAAGGTTGTTAATTTGTACTAGGTCACAAAGGAAGTGAGTGCAGAGCCAGAATTTGAGTTCTGAAAGTGATTGCATTTCTGACTCTCTTTTTGCTGTTGCTTTTTGATCACAGGAAGATCTGATTGATCAGAGAAAGTTATAATCTGGAGATGGGGATTGGGTGTTACCAAGTTACATGCTGGGGCTGAAGCCTTGGTCTGAGTGACATCCCTTGATAGTCTTTGGAGTTTATATAAAAACATTGAGGACAAATTGCATTTTCAGAAAGTAGTTGTAAGCTTGGGAAACAGACTGAGTAACCAGTAAGACAGGGAAAAAGCCATGAAGAATTAAGTTACAAAAGCCAAATTGGAGGATGTATTTTCCCTTTTTTTAAGAAATGAAATCATCAACAGTTCTAGTCTTGAAAAATACATTTACAAATATCCATTAAAAGTCACTGTTGACGGAGGGTGAAGAGTGAAAGAAGAGAACAGAAACACAGCAGACTTCCTCTATTCTGTGGAGAAACTTGACTATTGAGGCAAATGAAGTAGAAGTTAGTGGGAGGGTAAAGGAAGTGTCTTCTTCCAATGGGTGAGACAATATTGCATTTATATGGATTTAAGGATAATCTGTCTAGAAATATTTTTTATAAAAAAACAAAATTATAATTTGAAATGCTTTTTAAAACTTTACAGAGCATTATACATCCATGGGCATACCAAGTTGGATTTCACAGTCTGGCATACTGCAATTGAAAAAGCAGCAGGTACAGATGGTAATGCATTACAAGATCAGCAGCTCAGCAAAAATGACGTGCCCATTATCGTGAACAGCTGTATAGCATTTGTTACACAGTATGGTAAGTATTACAGGGCTTTTATTCAACCCCCAGAACTCATAATATCATTCCTACAGTTTTTAAGTGGTCCATCCATGGGCCTGCATTAGAGACCTTTATATTTGTAAGTACATCAGTGAAAAATAAAAGCATACTTTCTGTTCAGCAAAATGTCACTCCTTTCTTTTCTGGCATGCCGATTTTAAGTATCATAGTGAAAGACTCTATATTGTAAGATGTATATTAGTATTAGATTAAAGATTATATTTTCCAGAGGTTATAAGCCTAGAATAAAATCTAGAAGAATGTAGTGTGCTACCCAAGCATCTTATTAGAGAGGTAAATTCTCAGGCAATATGCCGGAGAGTTTACTGTTTATTGACATATGTGTATAGTATTTGTAAGTGTATCTTGTTCAGAGTGCTTACATGTGTATATTAAGGACATAGTAATTTTAATAGTTTGGGCTTAATTCCAAGAGATAACTTTATGCATAGGAAAAAAACAGTTTGTTCACCTTCATTTGAATTTAATATGTTATGTTAGCATTATAGATAGACCTGAAAAGAACTTTATTCCTCATGTTTATTTTCAGATTACTATGGCTTCCTCAATTTCCTTCTTTCTGTTACATATTTCCCTAATACTTTAACAGGTAGAAATTTCTTAACTGCATTTTTAATCTAAAAAGGTTCTGTACCTTAATCTGTAGGTAAATGGCATTGATTTAACTTATAATTGTGGAAAAAATTAAAATGAATGATCTAGTATTTGGGAATGCTGTATAAACTTTTTTTATTCTACTATAAGTATCTTTGAGTGTTTGTAATTTGAAAAGCAGGTATAAATCAGTGAGTGAGTTGCAGTGACATTAGGTCATTATTACTTACTGATTGCCAGTTGTGTGCCAGTCACTGACATTGGTCATGGAAATACAATAGTAGGAATAAAAACTTAAAGACAAAGCCATGAACCATGTGTTCCAGTATGAGAACTGACAATAAACTAACAGGAAACCAAATTCCATAAATAACTAAAGCTTTGAAGAAAATATTTTTTATACGTTAAATGTATAATATGTACACATTGATCTATTCTGAGAAGAATACCATTTTATCTCTTATTTTATATATAGTACCTGTGAAATTATTAATATTCAGAATCAATGTGTTTGAATTAAAAACCTATTGTAAGTAATGTGCAAAGTCACACTGTGGGCATTGTTCTATGAAATTCCTTTCTATGATAGTATGTTTATTTTTTTCTTATAACCACCTGTCTATTTAAAAATGGGGAAGGAGATGGTTGCCATCTTCATTTATTAATCATTTGTAATGAAATGAATTATAATGAAATGCACTTCATTTATTAGTGCAATTTATTGCACTTGCATTTTACAGGTATAAATAAATTGCACATATATTATGTCTTAGGAAGAGCATACCCTCAATGGAAAATTTCACATCATGTTAATTTCCTAGTGTCATGGAGTCTCTCTTAAGCTGACAAATGATTAAAATAACTTGACTAGTTCCAGTGTATTCAATTTAATGTTTCTCTAGGGAAATCAGAAGTTTCTTTGTGGTGTTTATTTGAATTCAAAATCACTAACACTAGATTGTTTTCAACTAAATTTCATATAACTAGTTTGTAACTCTAGTTCAAGGTAAATTACCTTGCATATTAAAGTAATATGCCAACAAAGGACTAGGGTATTTTTTTTTTTTAATCTTAAATTTTATTTTTATATTCCCCCATACAATTGCAAACGCCCCATTCTGACCCCAATCCTTCCCCTCCCGCCCCCCACCCCCAAAAAGTGTCTCTGGTTCATAGTTTTTTGTTGATTTTGATTTTCACTTTCTTATATTCATTTTCCTGGTCCCTTATTTAAGTTTTCTAGATTCCTGCTATGAGTGAGACCATCCGGTATTTTTCTTTTTCTTTTTGGCTTATTTCGCTGAGCATGATCCCTTCCAGCGCCATCCATGTTGCTGCAAATTGCATGTGTTTATCTTTTTTGAATGCTGAGTAATATTCCATGGTATATATGTACCACATCTTCTTGATCCAGTCATCTACTTTTGGGCATTTGGGTTGTTTCCAAAGCTTAGCTATTGTAAACAGTGCTGCTATAAACATAGGGGTGCAGGTGCTCTTTGGAATTGATGTTTCTGTGTCCTTTGGGTAAATACCTGGACTAGGGTATTTTTTGAAGAACAGAATATGAGGAACACCGCAATGTTACCAGCATGTATAGCAGTGAAGATTTGATATGAATTTAAAATTATCCTAGTGATTATAGGATCATGTTGTTGTCCTTTTCCAGAGAGACTGGTCTACTGCACAGGAAGAGGGGCAGGAGACTAGGAAATTGTGTGATAAATGAGTACACAAAATATTAGCTTGTGGAATGGAGAGAAGCAGAATGTTTTGAGAGCAAGGTCAACTTCTGTAACATAGTGTTGCTTTATGATGTATTAGAGAGAAGAAATTCACAGATGAAAAGAACTGGGGATATGGCAGCACCATATATTGAACTAGGGGAACAAAATGAAGATGTAGGGACTGGGAGGTTAGGTGGTGAATAGGGCAGAGGTTAATCCCTCTCAGGTTATTTTTAATTGTCTTTATATGTGTGTAAGGGTGTGTGTGTGTTTGTGTGTGTGTGTGTGTGTGTGTGAGAGAGAGAGAGAGAGAGAGAGAGAGAGAGAGAGAGTGAGTGATGTGTATATATGGCATATTCACAGTAAAGTATATGTGAGTGTGTTCGAAATGTTAGAAATTGAAATCTGGGTGAAAATGTATATGATTTGGTTGAAACAATGAAATTTGATGAGTTTTCTTAGAAAATTTTGTAGGGGGTTGGAGAAGAGAATTAAAGATGGATTCCTAGAATCAACAACAAACACTAGATAAGCAAAAGAAATAGAAGTCTGAAAGATTAACTATAGAGGAAGGGGAAAATGTGAGATACAGTGTCATGAAAGTTGTGTGATTTTAATTTGACACGGATTAATTTGGAGTGTCAAATCTGCAGTTTAAGTGAGGAAGATGGACCCAGTAGAGTTAAAATCCGGCAGACATACAAGTTTGTGTGGTGAGAAGATTAACAGGCATGTGAGGCAGTGAAAAGAATTAATATAGGAAGAAGATAATGGAGGATTTTGGTGTCTCTTCACCATTGCCATCATCATCACTACTCTTCCTCCTATTGTCCCCTACTACAGCTTACTTCCAATGGAGCATCTGATGAATCCATTATCAGGAAGAAAGTGAAGGTGGAATAAGACAGAAATTAGAACATAGCTGTGAAGGCAAAGGGGCTGTGCAAATTTGTTCCAGAGAGGCTCATTTTCATTAATGAATCTGGAATCATGTTTGTGTTTTGTGAGGCAAAGTGAAGATAGGACACTGGTGGTAACATAGCATTTAAAAAAAAATTCTGTGAAGAACCAGGTGGACTGACCAGCACCTTGATAAAAGCTGAGGATGGAATAGTTTATTCAACAGGTTTATATTTTAAATACCAAAATTAAATGAAAAAAGTTTTCCCTCACCTGCATGTTTATGTCCATTGTTGTCATGTTTATTTCTTAATGCTTATCATTACAACAGAAAGATTTTTAATTATTTTAATTAAAAATTTTAATGAAAATTCTAATTTTAATACTTATAGTGGATTTTGGTTTCGGACATTGTTCATATAACCTTTTTTTTTTTTAAACAAAGGTTTAGGCTGCAAATATATTTATCAAAAGAATGGTGATCCTATACACATTCGTGAACTCTTGGAGAATTTCAAAAAGGATGCAAGAAGCTTTAAGTTGAGGGCTGGCAAACATCAGCTTGAAGATGTTACTGGTGTGTTGAAAAGTTTCCTGTCTGACATTGATGATGCACTTCTTACCAAGGAGCTCTACCCGTACTGGATCTCTGCTTTAGGTAATACCTGTGATAGAGCACATACTATAAATGTTGCCTTCTAATTTGATACCTAGATTTTTAAAAATACTTGATATTCAGATATTTTAATTGAAAGAAACACTGTTCATAAAGGCTCAGAACAGAAATTGTGCAAATATTAATAGTTGTTTATATCAACTTTAAAATAAATTTATAGTTATCTTTGCTAAGTATTGTATTTTTTTTGTTTTGTTTTGTTTTGTAGAACTGGGGTGTAGGCCAGAGGTGAGAGGGGTGTGGTGAGAGGATTCACTATATACAGAGTGGGGGCAGAACAGGCATATTAACTGAAATACACTCCTGAGGGGAATAGTGGGCAAGACAGGAGAGGCCTACTGTGCTGTATGTGGGTAGCTCCCTGGACTTGGATCGAACTCAGGCTGTAGCTCAGCCCATAGTGGTTATAGCAGTGAGACTTAACCGCTAGGCCACCAGGGAGGCCCTAAGGAGTGTTTCATACACTTAGTTTCAGTTTTCTTAGTGCTTTCTTTTCTTCAACTTGGGAAGTATTAACAGTCAAGCCCATGTATGCTGTTAATTCCTCATTAAAAGTAACATGAAAGTTTTAATGCAAGATTAGTTTTTGAAGATTTTCATGACTCTTTTGTCTTTCCTGTATCATTTATTCTTTTTTAGAGTTACATTATTATATTCCTCACCCCACTCTTTCTTCATTTTCCCTAGATTGTCTAATAAATTAACAAAGCTTTGCTACTCTGTAAGAGAACCTATTTAAGAAAGAACCTATCTTAGAAAATTAGTTTATTATGTCACTGGGTTAATTTGTTTTCACTAAAACATATATTTACATATATTAATTCAGAACAACTCCTCTTATAGAAGCCTAACAATAAGTACTTTTAAATATAAATATTGTCTTTAAGTGCACTGTTGAGGGGAGCAATATTGTCTTTAAAAATCTCATGTTTCAACTAGTGCTATTTTCAGTTTTATATATTATCTTGTAATCTAGCTCTATACTTGTCTATATCTCCACACCTGTAATTCATATGTATGTATATTATTGACAAATAAACCACAGGATTTCCTATATGTATTTATTTTCACAATGATTTTTATTTTTTCAATTTATCTTTGAACTATATCATAATTTACTAATATATTTCTTGTATGTTCCATCTGTTTCAAGATCTCTTTTGAAAATTACCTTTGATTTTGAATATACATTATTACTCTGATGGTAGTTTTTTGTGGAAATTATTTGTTTAATCTGTAATAAACTATGACATTTGTAGGAATTAATTTTGAAGTGATGGGATAAAAAATCTTCAGTTTGAAAAATTATCCCAAGAAAGTAATATTGTTTTTAAAATACAACTTTTTCACAATTTAACTAATTTAGAAGTCTTTTGGTATTTCCCAAATCACTAGATTTAGCTCTAATCACAGAAATTATTAAATGTAAACTTTATGGTATATAAAATATGAAATTAGATAATATATCTCTTTAAGCCCAATTATCTTGCCAATTTCATTTTTTAAAGATGTTTTTATTATAATTTGTAACTATGAAGTTATGGTACACTGTTTAACATACAGTAAACCCTCAGGTAACATCATGGTTAAGTTCTCGGAGACTGCAATGTTAAATGAAATGAGGTATCCCCCAAGAAAGGTAGTCCTCAAACTAATCTTTAAAGTCAGCTGGGATTTGTTTTTTGTTTTTTTTGTTTGTTTGTTTTTGTTTTTTTGACCTTAGCGTAGGAAACTACTTAAAGGAAATGGTGTTATTCAAGAACCCGTGGTCTATCTATTTTATACAGACTTACAGTTTGTTGTAAAATTGGTTATCAAAAATCTCTCACTTTTTTTTTTTTTTTTTTTTTTTGCCAGAGTTGTCAAATTCACTGACAAGTCATCTTCACTGTTGTCATCACATATAGTGGGGAAAAGTGACATTGAAAAGAGGAATGTGTTCATTGTTTACTGGTTTATGAATTCTTTAAGAATTTATGGGGAGGTGACTTTGAATACTGGGTCAAAAAGCCTTAATGGTCTTTACCTTTAGATTTTCTGTAGTTCACCCTGACCTGACAGAAGTGTTTCTGTTGGATCTGACAAAGATAAACCAAAATACTCTGGTTTTGGTTCCTTTTCAGGTTGACCTGAAAAGGAAGTTCTCTTGGGTCTTGGACACCTGAGGCAAATAATGCTATACAATGGCACACTGCCTATTTATATGATATATGATCTGTTCTTCTGAGAACACAATTAAATTGTCTGGATTTTAAATTCATTTTATTTTATATTTGACGGAAACTACTTAAAGGAAACATTATTCACCCACAGTCTTCTTGCTTACTTTTGAATTGTGTAAGTTTTATTTTGTAAATATTATCTATTTCATTTTTAAAATATTTGTGAAAATATACTAGCATGACTTCTTGTTATGAGTGTAATAATATTAATTAAATTTTATTGAATTAATAAAGTTACCCCTACAGTTTTAGTTGGAGGACATAAGAATTAATGTGTGAATTACAGCAGAGATGATAGGCAATTCTTTTTTTTTTTTAAAGATTTATTTATGCATACAAGAGCTCGAGTACAGACCAGAGGCTTCGGGGGGGTAGGGGGTGGGGTGAGAGGATTCACCAGAGACAGAGTGGGGAACAGAACAGGCAGATTGACCGAAGTACACTGTTGAGTGGAGCAGCGGGCAAGTCAGGAGAGGTCTGTTGTGCCATGTGGGTTGCTCCCTGGCCAGCCAGGGATCTAACTCATGCTGTAGAGGCTGTGGATTGCTTCATAGTGTGGTGCTTAACCCCTTGCTCCAGCAGGGAGGCCTGATGATAGGCAATTCTTAATTCACTTCCAGTGTATTTTCTCAATAGAATTTGGGTGTGTTTTTCTCTTGTGTTTAGAAAGTCATCTACTAGTGTACTTAAGTCAGTATTGCCATGGTCACCGTTTAGATGTCATATGTAGACTAAATCAGCACAGAACTACACCTCAAAAAGTTAAATACCCAGGAGTAAACCTAACAAAGAAGGTGAAGCACTTATACAGAGAAGACTATAGGGCACTGTTAAAAGAAATAGAAGACACAACGGAATGGAAAGTTAGTTTCAACTTAGAATCCGAGGTTATTCAAAAATTCATCACAGTTTCCTCCCTCATCAGGGATCATAATACCATTTAAAAGCTGTTGCACTTTTAAAGACTCATTATTGTGAGTCTTTAAAGACTCATTATTGTGAGTCTTAGGCAAGGCCAAGCAGAGAATAAAAAAATTCTTGTTTCCAAAGGTTTTTGGGAATTGAGAGGGAATATGTAAATGTAATTCCTTTTACTAAATCAGCACAGTTATTTGAAGAATGAGCTTTTATTTTCCCCATGCGTTAGTAATATGTGAGACCAAACCACCACTACACTTTTTTTTAGAGTCTTCAACTTTGGGACCTGGTGTCTGTAGTTTAAATACTGATTTGTTGGAATTAGTAAAGTGGAGGGTAATACCTTCTCATTCTACTTTCTGTAACTAGCCACATTATATCCATGACAAAGGCTGAGGTCCACTTTGTAGTCTGTCAGAGTTATTAAGGTCTGCACATGTCTTCTTCCATTGTTCCCTTATCTTTTCCAAAAAATTGAAGGTGCTAAGATTGGTTAATGCCCTTTATCTAAATCTTCAGGATAACGAACACTTCATAATTCTGGGAAGATTCATAATTTGGGGGAGATTTTACAAGGGAAAAAAGTCTTTGTCAAAGATAATAAAACCTTACCAAATAGTGAAATGTTTTCATAGGCAGAGTTCAAGTTAGTTTGACTTACTTCTTCAATGTATACTTCTTTTTGAGTTGGGTATATCCCTGTTAGGGGAAGTTCAGTAATCTATAAAATAGAAGATGAAATAAAACTCTGGGTTTTTAAAATTCATTTTTAAAAACTACAAGATTAAGAACTGTTGTATTTAGCTATGAAATGTTGATATAAATAAATAATTTTACAGGATTATGGTAGTTTGAATGTTTTTCCATTGAAACTCGATTGTTTCAGTTAGTGAAATACAATTTTGAATAGTACTAAGAATTTTTTTTTTTTTTATCATCAGATACCCAAGATGAAAAGGAAAGAATTAAAAAGTATGGCGCATTTATACGGACTCTTCCTGGGGTCAACCGAGCAACGTTGGCAGCTATAATTGAACACCTTTACAGGTGGGTGCATTCATGAACTTTCCTAGGTATTTCAAAGATGGCTCTCTGTAAGTCATTATTTCTTTAATGAAAGGACTTCTACTAACCTTCCACATGGAACAATGAGTATTTCACCATATCTCAGGAACAATTTCAAAATGAAATGCCCATTAAACTATCGTTTTAGCAGTTCTCTTTGTAATGAGGACATATTTAGATAAATAGCACTAGAAAATTTCTTAACTATACTAGGTATAGTCACTTAAGGCATCCTAAAATAAATCCATAGCATAGGTAAGAACTTTAAAGCTCATTTAAGAAGGAAATTGAAAAACTGAAGAAAGTACAGACTCCTGAATTATAGCAGGAATCTGTGAGTACAGTTTTTTCCTTTTGGTGTACTTACTATAAACTCTTACTATTTATTGTTAGTTGATTTTTTTTTTTGACTTATTTATTTATACAAGCACTGGGTACAGTCAGAAGCGTGGGAGGGTGAAAGAATTCACCAGAGCCAGATGTGGGAACAGAACAGGCAGACTGATGAAATACACTGCTGAGGGGAACAGTGGACGTGGCAGGAGAGGTCTGCGTGCCATGTGGGACCCTCGCCGGTGGCCGGGGATCAAACCAGCGCTACAGAGGCTGCAGGCAGCTTCACAGCCCAGCGCTCAGCTGCTTTGCCACCAGGGGAGGCCCTATTAGTTGATATCGTATTTGACCCTAATATCTTGGTATCAGACTGTTGATCAGTGAGGAAATTTATTTATTATTTTTTTAAATATTTATTTATTCGCACATAAAAGAACTGGGGTACAGGCCAGATGTGCGGGAGGGTGAGAATATTCACCAGAGACAGAGTGGGGAACAGAACAGGCAGACTGAAATACACTGCTGCAGGGAGCAGCGGGTGAGACAGGAGAGTTCTACTGCACCATGTGGGACCCTTGCTGGCCGGCCGGGATTAAACCGGTGCTGCAGAGGCTGCGGACAGCTTCACAGCACTGCGCTCAACCACCTGCGCCACCGGGGGAGGCCCAGGAAATTTATTTTTTAATGCGGTCTCATTGGTTTACATTGTTATTAGTGTTTAAAGGTATAGGACCACCCCTTTCAGGTGGTATAACTATACTGCACACATATCAAAGTGGAAATTATAAAAGTAAAATTATTTAAATTACCACTGCACCCTTAATATCAGATCTTTGATTGAGAGGTATACATGTTTAAAAAATGATAAGTATTATAACTTATGATTCTTGGAAATATCCAAAAAGAAGTGTCTTGTAATGAGCTATGCTTTTCTCCAACAGGGTTCAGAAATGCGCAGAAATCAATCACATGACTGCCCATAACTTGGCCTTGGTTTTCTCATCCTGTTTATTTCAAACCAAGGGACAAACTAGTGAAGAAGTGAATGTCATTGAGGACTTAATAAATAATTATGTTGAAATATTTGAGGTAAATATTTTATATTCTGGCCCTGCTAAAATAGTTTTAATGTCACTGTTTGCAAACATAAATATATATTTAGCATGTTTTTATTTAAGACTTTGTGAGTATTTAAAAATACAGAAAATAAAAGATAGTTATATGATCTTAAATTTTTAAGATTCAATTAGCTTTTTAAGCTATAGACATTCAGTTAAGCATGACTGCTTTTAAAGCTTTTTTCTACCATCTGGTGTCTGTTGGACAGAATATTTCTATTTATATAGTATAGTGTTTTTATGTTTTTTTTCTTTTCATTATGTGTATGCATTAAGTATGTCTACTTAGAGGTGTGAAATTATGTTTTTCACAAATTTGATAATAAAACACCAGCCTGTTAAATTCTGTAATTGAAAGCATTACACTGTTTTCTTTTAATTGTGCCCCAAATTGGAAAAAATGTGAAATATTGTTTGGTTTTTACTGAGTCATCTCTGTTCTAATTATTTGACTTTTAAGTTTACAATGATGGAAATTAATATTTTCATGTATCATAGAAAACTAAGAATAGGAATGATTTCTTAGTCCAAAGGGAAAAAAAAAAAATAGAGGAAATAAGCCCAGGATTTGAATATGGAAGGAACAGAGAGGATCTAAGTCAAAGGCTCAGCATCTGTTAGTCAACTCCTTCTGGCTCAGTTTTACCCTTTAAACTTTTATGGAGCCTTCCATGAAATGGGGTGAGATAATGCTACTCTTACTTGGCAATGAATATAGCAGATGAAATCAAATAGTTCCTCCATTCTTATAATAACTGATCACAAGATTCCTTGCAAAGGAAAACAAGGTTGATTTTAATAGAATAAAATAACACAGTTTTATTTTAATCTATGTAAGAATGGAATGGACTCCTCAGTTGTTGGAGTTTCTTTGCTCTTCGATCTCCTTTATTTCCTTCTATGTGTCCACTGTTTTTGATCAAAAGCAGCTTCTTTGCTATAATTCTGATGCTGAAAAGTGAAATTATTAGACAAAAATAATGTGTGGCTTTACATGCTCTCTTTCCTATTTTTGTATCGTTACATTAATAACTATATTCATACTTTTGTTAAATCCAATTTTAAGTGGTAGAAATTTCATAACTATTTAATGAACATTTCAGTTTGAGAAAAAAGTCTTATCTCTCAGATTATTAGCTCTTACCAAACCATTCATCAGCCCCTTTGCTTATTAAATTGCCTTAGCAATAGGGATTCCATTGGTGGAATCTGCAGCCTGATGTGGAATCATCATAGAATGTTCTGAGCTTGATGAGGCTGTATCTGATTGGCTTTGTTTCTACCCTACCTCATGGGCCTGTGCTGATTAAGATGGCCATTAACATTTATTTTAACTTGTTGGTCTTTAAATTCCTGAAGAGTTATGTGAGGATGAGTATCATCACTCCTGGTATTTTATTAGAATATCCCGAATTATATTTTAAACAGGTTAAAGAAGACCAAGTCAAACAAATGGACATAGAAAATAGCTTTATTACCAAGTGGAAAGACACCCAAGTGAGTAGAAATAGTTAGATCTCCAAAGAATTAAAAACAAAACAAAAAAATAACAAAAATACTTCCATTGTAAGTAAAGAAAGATGTTTGTGTTTATTTTTCAAGTTCCTCTTTGAAGCAAACTAAAAGTAATGGGGGAAAAGAACCTAGATAAAATGGTTGTATAATTCTGCATGAGGCAGATCAGCAAAATGTCGAAGTATGTTCATATAAAATTTTCAAAATAACAGAAGAAATCAGATTTAATCTTACAAAACAATTATGAAATCAATTTTCATTTTTAAAAGCACAGTTGAAAATGTCAATGGATTTCAAAGGAAGCATTTAAAGCCAAAGAAATACTAGAATAAATTAAAAATTCAGACTTCTTAGTGATTCTTTCCATTATGATCTTGAAAATACATGCTTTTACATGCTTCTGCTCTGCATGCTCTTGGGTGACTGCTTAGTGGGTATGATTCTGATGTGACCTTTGTAACCTATGGTGACTTATGTCGTACTTGGCTTTTCTCGATCTTTCCATGTTTTCCTCAGTCATGTTATATTGCATTTGTGTACTTGTTTCACTACATCCTTTCAGGGTACTTACCCATTTTGATGAACATTCTTTAAATTTTCTTAAAGTGGGTCTTTTATCCTTTTCTAATAACTAGGAATTGTAGGGGATTCAAGGTACCAAGGCAAATAGTTGAAGAAAGCCTGTATTGTTCACAAGGATGTACTATAATGATATTTGATTAAAACGCACACACACACGCACACACGCACACGCATACATAAAACACTCAGAAATTGAAGCCAGTCATTAATAGTCAAACTCTAAGTTCATGTCATTCTTGTTAGAACAATCTCCAGGACTATCATTTCATATGAAGGAGGTGAGGAAAGGCTCCCAACCAAGTGCCTAAATCCCTAAGTCCTAATATTATAAGGTTAATTACCTAAGGAGGCATTTTCTCCATTTGGACCCAAAGCAATGAAAGCCGCCCCCAGAGGACATCTCTCTAAATATATGGCTCATTTTCAATTCTCTTATGGAGAGTTATGGTTATGAAATAAAGGATTGTGTGAGCCCAAAGAATAATCTTTGGTGGTATTAGCTATAGTGTCATTAGATGAAATATGAATTTCTGCATTTTAATCTTTTATATTCATATTACAATAAAGAAATGTGATATGAATGCTTTCTAATTAAATATAAGTAAAACTAAGAATTGTCTATGAAATAGAGTAGAAAGAAAAGTAGAAGAGTTTTAAAAAGTCTGTTCTTTTTCTGGAGTTTTTATCCTAATCCTTTCAAATGTCTCCTCTGGATTTTTTTTTTTTTTCTTTGACAGTCTCTATGTCATATCCCTGTTTGAATTTCTTAGCTACTCTGGTCTTTGGCTTCATTATTCTATGAGTTCTTTGTGTTTGCTTTTTTAATTTTCAAAATGTATTTTTCTTAGTTGTTTATGTAAATATAGTGAAAAGTAAAAATGTCAACTATATCTTTTCTTCCCTGGAATTTTTGTATAGAATCAAAACTGGAAGAAAAGTTGAAAACAAGCTTTTCTAAATCTATAGTACCAAAATAATAGTGCCAGAATATGAATGCTTCTTTAAAGTACATTTTTAATGTTTTCTCCACAAATTTGTTCATCAGATTTTATTCTGAGATAAATTTAACTTCAGGATGATTGTTCCCCCATTATGATCAGTTAAAAAAAGGGGATGATAGATATTATTTCTGAGTTACCTAGCTTCAGAAAATTTCTGGGAAAAAAAAGCCACTCAAAGTACCCTTCATTTTTTTTTTAATATTCTTTATTAATCTTTTCTACATTATACTGTCAGTCCGTGTAGTGATATCTTATGTTTTTGTTTTCTGTCTTCTCTTTTTCACTTAGTATGTTTTCCTAAATAACATAGTATTTAATCCTTGATAAAAACATATCTTTATCATTCACCTTATTCTATGACTTTACTTTTTTTTTTCCCCTTGATAAATATATTTTATTATTAGTTTTAATATAGCTCTTACCTAATTTATCCTAAAATTTCTGTTTTTGGACATACTATCTCTTTGAAATTTAGCAAGACCTATTTTCCCTGTTTATTATTAGTAGTGTGCCCACATAATCACTCAAGACGGAGCCGCATATGGCTCATTTCCCTCCTCACTTGTTTATCCTGTTAACAGACACGTGCTAAGACTTACAACTTCTGTTGGTACATTTGGCATATTTCCACTGTAGCCAAATTCATTGTCTCAGTAAGGATGTTAAGTGTATTTGAGAACACAAAACTATTGAATAAGAAATTAAAAATTGAATTGTGATTATTGTTGCTGATTTTAGTATTTGTATAAAGTCCTTGTCCTTAACCATATCTGGAAAATGAATGTTATCACTCTGTTAACAGGGAGATAGAACTATTTTCCTTTTTAAAACATATTTAGAAATAAGGCAAGAATTTTCTCACTGTCTCAAATGCTCTATGTGTGTTCCTGTACTATAGTTACATTTTCTGTCCTCACATCTGTCCTTAGGTTTCCCAGGCTGGAGATTTATTGATAGAAGTTTACGTGGAAAGGAAGGAACCTGACTGTAGCATTATAATCCGGGTAAGTCTCAAAAATGGAAGCATTCATTTCCATATCTTGAATTTTTCGTTTCTTGCATTTTATTTTATATATCCACTTCAAACCATGAATGTTGACAGGATTGACAATCTCATACCATGTTTTAGTTATTTGGGAAGGGAATATATCATGCGATGGAGATTATAGTAAGGATTATAGTAAGGATTTTCAGTCGGTCTCTTGTGGAAAATATCCTGAGCTCAAATACTCCTCTTGCTGGCTTCTTAACATTGGGCAAGTTAATATACTCTGTCTGAGCTTCAATCTTCTAATCTATAAAAGGCAGAAAAATTTTAATCCTTGTATTACTGCATTGAACTTAGCAAGATGCATAATAAACACTTAGCAAGTTGCTTATCACATCAATGTTTATGAATAATCAATACTATTAGCACCGTTGTTATTAATCTTCCACCAGGATCTTCAGACTTTAGTTTCCAATCTTCCAATTTACTTGAATACTAGATAATGCTTTCTTTATTAGTCAGTTGTTCTGAATCAAAAAGATCCTTCTCATGCCACCATGTTCAGCACCTATCCTGCCTTTGGGAGAGTAACAGTGATATTTTGATTCCTACTTAGTCTACCTTCACTGTGAGATGGCTGGGCATTCTTTTATGTAAAAGTAGAAATTCATTGCTCACCCCTTATCTTTTTTAAACATAAAATTAAACATTCTAAATTTTGGCTTTTTCTGGGCTTTAGTTATATAAACATATAATTTTTATTTATATATAAATAAAATATAATTTTTGGTGATTATGTGTTACGCTTCTATGGCTCTCGTCACCTTTCTTAGAACATGGGACTGACATACTACCACATACTATCACCATAGGCTTTTGTTGTCTTTTTTTTTAAAGATTTAGTTATTTATCATACAGGAGCTGGGGTGCAAGCCAGAGATGTGGGGAGTGAGAGGGTTCACCAGAGCCTGAGTAGAGAACAGAACAGGCAGATGTACTGAAATACACTGCTCAGTGGAGCTGCGGGCGAGATAGGAGAGGTCTGCTGCATTCATGTGGGTCACCTCCCTGTATGGGGATCAAACTTGTACTGTAGTGGGTGCGGATAACTTCACAATGCTGTGTCTTTACCTCTTGTGCCACGAGGGAGGCCTAGCTTTTCCTTGTCTTTCACTTGACTTCACGTATCTTAGAATGAATGGGTGAGGTGTGATCACAGGGGACATGAGGTGTAGTGCAGATTAATCAGCATGAGGCCATCATTCATGCTAGAAGAGGTATCCATAGCATGTGACTTAACACCACCTGCACATAAACACTTTAGGTAGCACATTTTAATCCTATTTTAATAAGGAAACCATAACAGAAGTTACTACAGTTGAGCACAATTCTTATTTATTTTTAATGTATTTCAATAAGACTCTCCAGTTTCACCTACAGTGGCTCTAGCTTCTCTTTAAAAACATAACAAAAAGTACTAAAATAATATCCACCATTTATTTAATGCTTAACATATTGTAAAACCCGTTATTGATCTCTGCTGACAATTTTACTTCATCCCAAGGAGTTAGGAGTGGCAGGTGATGCCCCAAGTTTATACGGATATTAAAAGCATTTAGACAAGAGTGCAAACATAAATTATCATATTCCAAACCTGGTGTTCATTAGACTTACTCGTACATTTCTTAGAGCAATAATTTCTGAAGGGGCTTTGTGAGTTCTGGGTGTCCTAAGAGCATCCTTTGGTCTCCCCAGGACAAGGAGTAGAGATCCTGTTTCAACCTGGAACACTTGCTGCTCAGTATTTCACAAGTTTGGTTTCTCAGTAATTATCATATTAAGAAAGTTCATGCCCTTAAAGAATGTTAAATCCATTCAGATGAATTCATCCTTGAAATTATTCACCTACTAATGTTTCTACTGCTAGAAGTTCTCTTTTCCCAGGTGCTGATTTTCTAAGATTATATAAGTCATTGATCTTTCTAAATAAAAACATAGTGAACTTGACTGTGTAATTAATATATTCCCCCAAAACACTAAATTTCACAAAGTCCAAAAGATAGGCTGTGTGAGTTCCTTTAATGAAAGATAATTTATAGTATTTATAGATATGTGATGTGTTTGTGATCAACAATGGACAGGAAAAATGGAAATGAGCACATTCTTTTTTCTAAGAAAAATTTTAATAGGCACCTTGTTTTATTGAAAATGTCAAAGTGGGTTGTATTTGCAATATTTCAATGCTTAAAACATCATCTCTTTGACGTTATAAAGTCTAATTGAAAAAAAAATACAGCTTGTTTTATGCCATTTAAGAGTAGCAAATGCTAAAAGAAGCAACAAATCGAAAATCCCCAAAGTCCTTGCAGAAGATGGTGTGCTTATGCAATGACCAAAGGCTTTGAGGCTCTTGTAGAACTGCAGATTCTGCCCTATGCTCTGAAGTCCTGGCTCCAGCATGCTTGGTATCCTACCATCTGTCACTTGGCGTGGTGGGCATACCACAGGCCACTAAAATCCTGGGGCTCTTTGGCATAGCAGATAGCAGTTGACCGTGTTTGATTTAGGACTCATGCTGAATAGACAAGCCACTTTGAACTCTTGATCATAGAACTGATAAGTGAAAAGTTTCACTCCCGGAAGACTGTTGGATTGCTGACTACCAAAGGTCATTCTGTGTATAACTAGGTGTGTTCTCTCCTGAATGATCTTGTTGCATACTAAGTGAGAAAAAAAACACATATTCTTGATTATATCTACGTCATTTTTTGCACTTACAATAGGCTGTACTGCATTTTATGGGAATGATCTGAACATTTTTTTTTTCTCATTGTGTTGGAGAAGCTAATTAAACATACTAAGAAAGTATCATAAAATGGTGAAACAGGGAGTACTGTGGCTGGTTCTATATCTGAAATTTCTTCTGAAGAAATTTTGCCTCTTTTACAGATATCTCCTATAATGGAAGCAGAAGAATTAACTAATGATATATTAGCAATAAAAAATATTATTCCTTCAAAAGGTGATATCTGGGCCACATTTGAAGTCATTGAAAATGAAGAGCTGGGTAAGTGAGTTTCATGCTAGGAATCTTAAATTCCCTATAGTATAAGGAAATACTATTTTGTGACAAGTTACTGCTACCATTTTATGCATCTCATTAATGAATTCCCTTCTACCTCAGTGCATGTGTTACTGTCTTCCTATGGTTTTATCTAAATAATGAGATTATTTTATTGACTATAAAGATACTGTGTAAAGCATTAGGCATCTATGATACTTTCTTAGAAAATAAAGCTTTTATTTGTAAGGACAAGCAGTTTTATTTCCAATAATATTCTAAATGACACCACTTCATCTACCTATTCCTGTAAACTCCTTATTTAACAAAAGCAAAAAAAGTTGATTTAACAAATAATGTATTATGTAAATACAATATTGTTTTAAACCTACCAGAAGCTGATTTTTTTTTTCCCACCTCTCTTTACTGGATAATATATTTTGTCATCTTCATCCCAGAGATGCCAAAGCTTAAAGAAAGCTTTTAAAACACCATGACTGGCCCAATAGTCAAGTCAAGTGTTGGATAAGCTTAATATTCTAATGGCACCATTTACTTTTAAAGGACTGTAGGGAAAAAATGATGCAGAATATCTTGTACTGTGACCATCTGTCTAGCTGATACCTACTAAGGTCTTGGGACCCTTTCAAGTATAGCTATCAAACTGCTAGAATTACAGTCTTGCCACTCGTAAGCTCAAGATAAAAATTGAAATCTATTATAGCTGACTACAGAACTGAAACACCAAGTTGGGGGGAAGGTGGGGGAGGGGAAAGAGCAAAGAGGGAAGAAAGCTCAGTGGACTATGGTGGTGGAATATGGGTAAGTTGGTGGGGGGCAATATGGTGGTAATACCTGATGGGGTACCCTGATATTACCCCAGTTAAAATCATTACGTGCAAAAATGTTTATCACTAACATTTGAAAGAAGAAAAGGACTATGGTAAATGTGTTCATTTTTAATTGTGTTTAAATTTTACATGTATTTTCTGGATTTTTACTTTTTTATTTTATTTTTTTATTTTATTTTATATATTTTTACATCATTTTTCATTTTTGCACAATGTATGCATTTTCATCTTGGTTATATTCCCCATACATTTCCCACCCCCTTTATTTTGACCCTAATCCTACAATATGGATGGAGCTGGAAGGGATCATGCTCAGCAAAATAAGCCAGAAAGAAAAAGAAAAATACCGGATAGTCTCACTCATAGCAGGAATTAAAAGACCTGAATAAGGGTCCAGGAAAAAGACTATAATAAAGTAAAAATCAAAATGATAAACCAGAGACATATTTTTAAGACCATTATTTAAAATAATCTGCAAATAATAAGTTTTTCTATAAAAAGATAAATTGATTAAAAATAAACTTCCCATCTAAAAAAATTGAAGGACCCCCATGGTTTACCAGAAGTATTGAAGTCAGTGTTAGAATTAAATGGATTATCAAATACTTTACCTTTCATTATTGCATCTTGATGTTTTTATTTCTGTATTTCTTTTCAGCCATGCATGATTCTTTTTATTAAGATAACATTCTTTTTATTAAGATAACACTGTGTGTGACTTAGAGGTATGCGTTCACATCTCTTCAGATGATTGTTACCACACCACACCCTTCTTTGGGCCCCTCCGTTTGCTGCCCACTCTGTCCCCTCTCGTAGTCCCAGTTTGGCAGTGAGATCTCTAGGGTATGCTTTTGATTTGGTTTTTGATCCTTTGTTTTGTTTCTCTATATTGCAATATTGGTTGGTATATTGCAAAATGATTGGTATTTTTCTCCTTTGGCTTATTTTGCTTAGTATTCTCTAAACATTTGTAGTAGGGTGTCATTTTTCAATATCCGTTGTCAGGATTCAGTGACCGGTACTTTGGTGTTAGCTCACATTATGTCTCCCCTATAATTGGTCTCAGTCTTTACATTCACAGAATTTGTTCTGTCAAAAGACACCTGTGACCCCCAACTGCCAAGTCCAGTGGATTTGCTTCAGGCTTTACTTTATTTCTCCTTTCTGTGGCAGTTATTGTTAGTAGCCATTTCCTTATTCTCAGCAAGTCTTTACTCTGTTTTTGCAGCCACCTGGATTTTCTTCCTCGTTCCCTAATTATTTTATCTCATTTGTCAATTCTTCTTATGTCTATCCCCTCAGTGGTGGGTTTCCTCTCCTTCAATCTCCACTGCCTTTTTTTTTTTTTAATTTTCTATGTTCTCTGTAGGTAGTTTCTACTATTTTTTGTGCTTTACTTATGCGTGAATTGATGTTTCCCAAGTGCATCTTTCATTTCCTTCCATCTGGCCTACCTGTCTACCTCTGCTTAAACACAGGCCGCGTGTTCCATTGGACTTTGTCTTATCTTCATTAATGACTATCACGTGAATTCATATTCATCACTTCTGGTGCGATCTCCTTGGAAAGATGAAGGAGGGAATCCTTTTCTAGCTCTAGTCTCGCCCAGTGCCAGTACATAATTGCCCTACAATTAAAGTCTGTTGAATAAATGAAGCATGACTTTTGCATTACAATATAGTACAGAGGTGGTGCATTTTTTTTTTATTTTCATTGTTTGATTTTAATGAAAGAAACTAAAGTTACCATCTTTGTCATTTTTGTAGATAAAATATTACTGTCAGCATTGCTATCATAATTATCTTTATAAATTACAAATAGGAAAATATTGTTTGCCCAGTTAAAACTCTTATTTCCTCACTGTGTGGCCATTCTTCAACATCTGTCTCAAATGCCTCTTCTCCATGACATTTAGATGAAAATAGTTCTAATGGGCCATTTACTGGTTATGTGCTTGTAGATCTGTAATCTGCATGCTGTCTGACTTGGAGAACAGCAATGTGTGTATCTATTTCTGCCCTAGGTCATGTGTGTTTTTTTTCCCTTGGACATTACCATATCTCTTAGACCTTTATATCTTTTTTTTTTTTTTTGCCTGTAGATCTTTATATCTCACACTACTTTAGAGTGCATTGATATGGAACATTCCCTACAAATATCTTTTTAGCTGGAGTGGAACAAAAAATAGATGCATTCTGAACCTGAGTGTCCCTGATTGTTGTTCTTTGGATAAAGGTATCCAAATGTGGAGGCAAATAAAGGGATTCCTGCATGAAGATTAGGAACCACCAGGACATCTTATTAGAAGCTGCCTGTTCTGCATGCTTCTGCTTTGTTTGTTTGTTTGTTTGTTTTTTTAGGATATACACAGCAGATTAATGAATTGAGGATTTGGGGGTAGACAGCCTCTCCCTTCCACACTTTCTCAAGGGATGAGTCAGAGCACATTCCTGGCTCACAGTGTTGGAGCTCTGTACCTCTGTGTACTCACAGTGTTGGAGCTCTGTACCTCTGTGCATTGGTCCTCCTCACTGAGAGGAGCACACAGACTGGATCAGGACAGGAAGAAATCACATACTACTAGAAGTGAGATTGCACATACCTGGAAGAATTGATAGTAAATTTCTTGGAGAATGTAGGCATCTGTAACCTGAAAATAACATTTTGCATGTGACAATTAGTGCATCATAACTAGGGTGTATTTTTTGTTTTGTTTTTTTTTTTGGCTCCTTCTCCCTAATTAAAGTGATCTTGAAGAATATATAAAAATACTAGGTGACCTGAAGTTATTTTGATTGTCAATGTCCAAATACAAAAGCAAAGAATATCCTATGTACACCAAGAAAAATACATTTGATGAAATTAAGAATTAAAATTTGGCATGCTTTTAATGTTTGGTTAACTTTTTTTTAGTAGAAATTGCCAGAAGTGAAAACAGAGATGATTTTTACTGCTGCTAGAGGAACAATGTTGGAAAGCAACAAAGGTGTCAGTGATTATGTTGGCTTACTGAAGCAAATGGTACCCATGTGCTCTACCTGACCTTCTGAAATGTTAAAAGCTTTATTTCTCATAGCATGCAGGGAAGATAAAGCTAAATATAAAAGATAAAAGTGAAGGCATTGGTAGTCACAAGATTGTAGTTGATAGAAGGAATATCATCAGGTATTGGTGCTTTTTCTAATGTAAATACAAATCCTCCAAGTAACCAAAAATATATAAATAAGTGGATGAATAAGAAAACCAGAAGTGCTGGATTTTATTTCAGGTGTCTGCAAATTTTAAAGTAATAGTTCTCTATCCTGTTCAATTCAATATCCCTTTAATATTTTGTAATGTTCCTTTTACTTTCCTGAGAGAATTTATTTTACTCATTTTTTTTAAAAAAGATAATTCCCTAATTATAATATAAAAATGATTAAAAGGGAAATATGTATTATGAATGCTCAGGTACTCCTATGTGGTTGCACATGATGAAAACATATTCCTATTTGTGGGAGTGTCATGAATGTGACAATTACTGTGCGCCTGATGTAAGCAGGCCAGTTAGTGACTCCAGTATCACCGGCAGCATATTGCTGTCATCGGTGAAATAGTGCCTTTGTCTGTTTGGGCTGCTATAACAAAATACCAAAAACTGGGTGACATATAAACAACAGAAATTTATTCTCAGAGTTCTAGGAAGCTGGAAAGCCCAAGATCCAGAGGCAAGTAGATTTCAGTGTCTGGTAAGGATCCACTTCCTGATTCATAGAAGGTTGTCTTTCCCCTGTGTCTTCACATAGTGAAAGTGTCTCGGGAATTCTAGTATCTTTTCTATAAGGCCACTAACCCAAGGGCCCCACCTACTTAATACTATCACATTGGTGATTTGGTTTCAGCGTGAGTCATGCAAAATTTCAGACCATAGCAAATGGTAAACATCTCTTAGAAAGGTTTGACTGAAATAAAACAATCTTTTTTTCTTTATATGGTAGTCAGAGACATAGGAAAAAACTCATATTAAAACCATATAAAAATAATTTGGTAACTTATTTGTAAAGTTGAGTTAATTCTAGGCTCACTCAGTTAGTTTATAAGTAGGTTTTCCCTTTGACTGTCTGGCAGGACATTGGAAATTTGTACTTGATAGAGAGCAAGTTTTACTTGGCCTCATTCTTTGCAAAGCACTAAGCATCCTTGAGTCACTGCTGCCAGTGATTGTTCAAGGCAAGCTGAAACCTGCTTATGGACTGTCAATGCCGTCAACAGCTGATATTCTAGTGTATATTTTTTTAAATACTTTGATATAAAACTGAACTTGTTTCTGCCCATGGAGCCATTCCTTCTCGGTCCTTCACACGATGAAAAATGAACTGCTTGCTTTTTAGGGGCTTTTTCACTCAAATTCAGGTGTGTGTGAGCAGTTTCTAGGGAGCAGCATCATAATGTTCCTGTTTCTTCCTCATAGTGACTACGATATGGAAACTGTTCATTTGCACTGGGGATTCTTTCTAACCTTTCTTTGGACTGACAGAAAGTGCTGTCACTTCCTGATTATGTGGACAGAGCAGAGAAAGGCAGGCACAACTCTATGTTTAGTACTGAGAATTTAATTACTGCGAAAGTCATAATTGTTTCTGGAAATCCTGTGTCATACTGCCAGAGATTTAGGAACAGCATCTGTTATTTCAGGTGGAAAAAGGCTTGTTCTCTACTAAATGAGGGACACCAGGTTTATTCTCTGGACATGGTTTAAAACTATTAACAACATGATTTGCTTAGCTAAGGAACTTCCTTTACAACCTATTCCAATTTTCATCTATTTTTATTCCATAGGTAGTATGCAAGTGATTTATTTCTAGCAATGTACTAGTGAAAGATAACTTACATACCATATAATTTGTCATGACAGCTGGTTGTAAATGTAACCACAAATAAAAAGTTCTTTCTTTGTAGGAATTTATATTCTAACAATGTCTGATGACTCAATCATTTTTTCTTGCCTCTTTTAAGGTGGCTTTTAATGCCATTTTATAATTGTTTTCTTTTAAATATCTGTTCATCCTATTTTTCAACTTTGTTTTCCCCTTACATACTTCATACTGAGATAGTGATGTGAAAAACATAATTGTTTTTTTGTGAATTTATATTTGTCTCTATATCTGCTGATATATTTTATTACAACTGTGAAAACATTAGAGCTATCATTACAGTATTAGCTTGTACTAGTGATCCTTTTTAATATAAATGTTCTGATATTTTAGTCTCATTATTCATTTAATTTTGTAATAAGGGAATAAGCTTCTGTTTCAGTCTAAATACACTTTTCTAGTTATGAATATCATTCTTACCTCTAAGCCCACTACACTCTCTTTAGTTATCATACATCTAGGATTTTGAAACAAGCTTGCTGTAATTTCCTTGCCATCTTCTCGGGATAGGAAAGTGAAGGGAAAAACTGAAGGTAAAAATGTGAGCTGACATTCTTTCTCATCTTTCCTGTGTTACCTTGTTTAGTCATCAAGAAATTCTGGGTGAGGTGATAATTTGAACCCAAATTATATGTGAAAATGCCATTATGGATAAGCTGTCATACTTCGCCCAAATAAGATTGAGTGTCCTACTTTGATTTTTGGACTATAAAGTCTGCTAGATTGGAGGTTCATGTTGGTTTTTCACTTGAAATAGGTGCTTGATTTTAGGCAAGTGGCTGATCTCTCTGATATTCCCTTACATGTAAAAGATGGATAACAATACCACCTAATGAGAAGTACTGAGATAATTCAAAGTGATAACTAGTTCCTATTTGTTTTTCCAGAAATGGCATGGTTAATGTAATCAGTAGCATCCTGGGGTTTGCAAGTAGTAGAATCAAGAGTCAAATAATATCAAATGTAGAAAGAGTGGTTACCATTAGATTTTCATATAAATACAGTGAGTTTAAATTATAACCTCTATTAATATAAGACAGTCAGTTTATGGTTAATCAATAATTTACTTACATCTTTGGCAATTATGATCCTTGCCAGCCAAACCTTGTAAAAAATTATTTGAGGAAAATAATTTTGACCTAACACAGATTTTGTCTGATTTTACAAAGAATATATTTTGTCTGTGATGTTAATTTATAGGCCACCTTAGAACTTAATTCCTTCATTCCCTGAGTGTTTATTGAACATATATTATGTACTCAGTGCTGTGTGCCTGCTGTGTGTAGGTGATTCGTTTGTAAACAAGAGGTAGATTCATCTCAAAATGTATGATCTAGTTGCTTTTCTTTTAGTAATTGCTATTATAATGAGTTAGCTTACCCCCTAAGCACAGATACAGATGGTATTTTACTGCATAGGAAAATATGGTTGCACTCAAAGCAGAAAATAGGTTTTCTTCTGTGGACCTGGGATTATTAAGAAATTCAGGGATGCTGTGGTTATAGTTAGGAAGACTGGTATTGAAGAAGATGTGATATAGTTGGACATTTTTACTTGTATTTTTATTTCCAGTTAAAATACCATGATCATAAATGAGTTTGAGGCTATTTACACACTCTTTCCTGTTTGTCATTGTTATGCCTACTTTAGCTGAAAGTGAAAAGCTCAGCTACTGTGTGATTTACATTTAGGAGGGTATGAAAGTTAATTCACTTATATGTCCAGGATACTGGAAATGCTGTATCAATGTCTTCATGGGCTAGCTTAGAGTTTTGCTATTTCAATTACATGATTTTTAGTGTGAAACTGTGAAAACATTAAACTTTTTCCTAGCATATGCTTCTGTTGTAACATGTTATTAACTGAATGGCATATTATTATCAGCAAAAAAAAACTTCCCTGTGAAGCTTTGATTATAATTGTAAATTTTTTTTTTTAAGATTTATTTATTTATATATACAAGCACTGGATACAGTCAGAAGTGCGGGAGGGTGAGAGAATTCACCAGAGCCAGAGCGGGGAGCAGAAAAGGCAGACTGAGTACACTGCTGAGGGGAGCAGCGGATGGCAGGAGAGGTCTGTGCGCCATGTGGGACCCTGGCCCCGTGGCCAGGGATAGAACTGGGGCTGCAGAGGCTGCAGGCAGCTTCATAGCCCAGCGCTCAACTGCTGCGCCACCAGGGAGGCCCAATTGTAAATGTTTTTAACTTTGCTAAGAAGTTGTGGTACATTTAAAAATATGGTTGCCTAAAATGAAATGTGTATGAATAAGAGTTTATTAAGGATAAACATTTAAGGGCCTCCCTGGTGGCACAAGGGGTTCAGACGCAACCTATGAAGCTCTTCGCAGCCACTCTGCACAAGTTCGATCCTTCGCCAGGGAGCTACCCACATGGCACAACAGACCTCTCCTGACTCACCTGCTGCTCCCTTCAGCAGTATATTTCAGTCAATCTGCCTGTTCTGTTCTCCACTCTGTCTCTGGTGAATCCTCCCTCCCCCCCACACACACCTCTGGTCTGTACCCCAGTTCTTGTATGCATAAATAAATAAATCTTTAAAAAAAAAAGGACAAACATTTAAGATACCATTAACTTCTTGCTTACTTGGCCTATTTAATGTATGATATTACTACATATTTCTGATTGCTATTTCCACTACATATTTCTGATTGCTATTTCCACTAGTTAAACATAGATTACTTGGTAATATTTTATGATTATTTTCTTATGTTCTCTGTTAAAGTTTTATTTATACTTTCATTAATTGACAGAATATCACCTTTCAGTTGCTTATAAGTATTGATCAGAAGTTATAACTTGTTCATCTTGTTGGAAGAAAGCTTTCATTTATGTTTATTACTTAGTACTGAGCAGGTGAATGGACTTCTGTTCCTTCTACAGTTTATTAATTGCATATGAAAACAGGCAACTTTCAATAAGCAAGCCAGAAAGTTACCTAAAGTAAAAGAAGGAAGATATGGACACTGGTGTATTGTAAAAAAGGGTCATTTCATATTCTAAAATTATATTTATAGGGTAAATACCACTGAGTCTTTTAAAACAATAACTCAGTGATTAATGTCCTTGCACAGGTGTGTTGATACAATAAATTTTATCATCTTCTTGATGGTGTTCTAGGTATTAGGGTCTCCTGTATGTAATCCTAGTGCTGCCATTGTGTAACATAAGGTAGAAGTTAAGTTCATTGTTGCAGACAGATATTTTTTAAATGCACTTTTAACAATTCATAATTGTGAAAAAATAAACTTTATTTATTTATTTATTTATTTATTTATTTTTGGCAGAGCGACCTCTTCACTATACAGAGAATGTATTGGAGCAGGTACTTCGGTGGAGTTCATTAGCTGAACCTGGCTCTGCTTACCTTGTGGTGAAGAGATTCTTAACTGTTGACACAATTAAATACTATAATGGTAGGTGTTATTCCCATTGTAACTGTGACTGAAAACTCATGTGGTAGAAGGATAGTTAAAATGGTACAAGTGTTGTTTGAACATGTAAATTATTAGGAACTGCACACGGAATCTACTGACATGGGATTGTAGAGTAGAAAGAGTACACGCAGACAGGATCACCAAGTGTCACCGACTGATTTTCCTGTGGGTAACTTTGTGGTGATTGGATGGTACCTAGTTAAAGTTTTTGGAAGAAATGGGGGGAAACAGCAACATACGCTGAGCTGGTTTGAAGCAATCACATCTAAAGATTTAGATCTTTATGTTGTTCAAGGACAAGAAGAAAGGTATAGTGAGATGTTCTCCATTGGCTCTATCCACAGACTAGGGAGGGAGAGTTGGTGTTACATTGATGCCTCACATTCCTCCAGGTGCTGTTGGTATGGTCATGTGTGTGTCCTTCTTTTTGAAAGCATCACTCTTCTAGGTCTAGACAAAGCATCTTGCATAATAACCAGAGAACCCAAACAGCAGAAAGAAAGCTGCAAGCTTATGTGATAGTTTCAGGGATTTGGGTGAAAGATTCTCTATGGTAAAATGTCAGCCAGCTTTTCTATTACTCTCATCCTTCATTCTACTATCAGGTGGGAAGCTATAAATTGCAATCCTGTCATGCACACTCCCTCCCTCACTTTGCCAAACATATTCAATTTGTTATCATAATATCTGTAGTTCCTTCTATGGGGGAATCATGTCTCTGCATGAAAAAGACATCTGCTTTAAAGTAACACCATCAATAAATACATTAATTGGACTAATTCATATTAGTATTTATGGATTTTTGGCAAATGTAGAAGTACCTATGAAGTAAATGTTTTTAAATACTTTTCTTGTTTTCTAATCAATACTGTTTATAAATGTTAATTAGAGCTTGCTTTATACTTAGATTGTTAAAACAGTATGATCTCTTCTATTACAATTGGCTCTCCATCTGTGTGGATTTGGGATTGTCATTGTTAAAGATGCTCTGACCTTTTCTTCAGTTTCTTAAATCAAAAATTTTCCTCCTCAGTTGTGCCTTGTAGGAGCCTGGAATTTATCAATACTTTTTTTGTGGTATACTTTGTGATTAACTTTGGGTTGCTTAGATATTCAGTCTACTTTGTCTCTGTCTTGGCAAATGTCTCTTAAATCAGTCACAATGACCACCTACTCCAGAATTATTGCTCCATTCATTACATTCACTATATAAAATTGAGGCCTAAAAGGAAAATAATGCAAGTAAATCAAATGTGATTTCTCTGTCAATTTGTTAGCGGAAAAAAGGGAATGATCTCAGAAATACTTATTACTCTTCACAGGAGAAAGGGAACAATCTTAAAAATTCTCTTAAGATTTTCTTATTCTAACCTGGGGACAATCGGAAATTAGCTGAGTCTGAAACAAGGGAAGTTGGTTGCAGCCATATTTTATCTTAGTAACAAGTAGCTAGTATGTTGGCATTTTATGAAAATATAAAGTAGAACTACTGTGTCTTTTGCTCCCTGTCCTCACATACTCCATCACTGTTTGCCACACATTTTGCAGTCATCTATCTATCTAGTCATATACATATGACTTACATTGCTTTAATTCTGTGTTTGTTTGTTTTTTAATTTGTGGAACATATTGTAAATGTATTCTTTTGTTTGGCCTTTTTTACCATTTTCTTGCTAAATCAGGAATTTTATGAAATAATAAGTTTAGCATAGTTAGGGTTTTAATTTCCTTAACTTTTTCACTTTTGTCTAGACAATTAAGAAATGTTGGCATCACATCTAGGAACAGATTTTTGAATCATTCAACACTTAGTTTCCACTCAGTCTTACAAGGTAATGAGATAACATACTTTATTTTCATAGATATATATGAGAATAAATGAATTTTGTTGCCTTAAAATCCTGTTTTTCTTTATTTTAATTGTTTATTTTTCACATCATTGTTCATTTTTAAACAATATTTGCTTCCCCCACCCCCAGGTGTAGTCCCCATAGAATTTCCCTCACCAGTGTACCCTGTGCACCATCACCTCAGTCCCCTGTGCTCCTCCCTCCATCCCTCCCTCTTGAACAACAGCATTTTCTTTTGTAGAAACCTCTTATGCCTTTGCCATTGTTGTGATGAGGCATTAAATAACTTTCAAAAAAAGATAATAGTCCTCAAACTTCTCCCTACCCATGGATTATGACTGAAACCTTGAAATAGAATAAAAACTTCATGTAAATTTCCACTTAGAATTTGGCATAGCTAATCTTTATGAGACTATCTTTTATTACCTCATTAGTTTAAGTTTCACCATCTCTATCACAAGCAGACTATACATTTATAAATTCTGTAAGGCTCCGGAATAAATAAATTTATGTTGCTAAAATCTTACTATAGACACTAAAGTTCTTTAACATTATCCCAGTTGAGTAGGGATCAAGTTTTACTTTTCCCAGTGGGGAAGAAATACTTACAAGTTATAATACAAATACAGATCCCTGTGGGTTTCTAAATTTAGACTGCTACATATGACAGATGCTTTGAAATTAAATTTCCATTAGAATAGTTAAAAATGGAAGTGGCTTCAGACCTGGAAATCTAAGCCATCTACTAGCAACTGACTGCAGAAAATAAAATTCCATCAAAAAGTGTATGAATCCATAAATCATAGTTTAGTTGAAATAATTTACTCTCTACTCTCTACTCTCCATCTTTTTTTTTTTTAAATAAGATGTGTAAAAGTTAAAGATAAGACCACTTCAAGTGGAAGTGTTTCTTGGAAATTGATAGCCTTTGATAATCACTAACGAGTATAAATGTCCTGACTTCTTCTAAGAGTATATTTCAGTAGTAAGAAAATCAGTTGCTAAGTTTTTGCTAGTTAATCTGTTTCATGAACGAATTTACTGTGGTGACTTTATTTTTTTTTTCTTTGAAAACTCAATTTTAATTTTCCAAAGTATAATGTAAAATTTAAAAACATGAGCCATACATATATAGGCATACATCGAAGATGTATTAACTTGTTAATGAGGGAATCTATTGGATGGTGATGTTCTTGGTACCTATAGCATTTTGAGGATCTGAATATTTAGGGGCATTTAGAATGTCAGTATAACATTATTGGGATAGATACAATATTGGTTAAAGGCATACAATTCAATAAAATCATAAATGCTGAGATTGTATTTCCTGGGCCGATTGGATAAAATGTGCAATTTAACATGTTATTCTGCAGTGTCTGGGATCCAACAACAGTGAGTAGCCTAGTCAAACATAGGTACTTTTTCCAAAAGAATTAAGCAGTTCTTGTGTGATTTTGTGAAGTAATGTCTCAACATGACACTGTGGTAACTTTAAAAGACTGTTAAGCATTGCCATTACACTTCTGGAAGAGAAAAGCTAAATGTATGAAACCTATTCAAATGTAAGACTATAAACCCAGCATGCAATAAATAACTACTATAGGCCAGGCTATTTATGGAGGGCTTTTAAACAAAGAAAACTGGTTCAACTAGATGATCTCTGACAACTCTTATAGCACTGACTGTCTTTTATTCAAGGAACTATCATCAGTCCTCATTCGTTTTTCTTGTATGTGTTGTCTTTCCATAACAAAACTAGTCTTATTTTCACTCTCTCAAAAAGTACATGTTGAATAAAGTTCAAAAATTATAAATGAATTAAACACTTTGTGACTGAGCAAGTATCGACAAAATTTCCCATATAATGTACTGGCAAAGCCAAGTTGTTCGGGACTGCTTTCTGAAGAAAATTGACTTTACATTGTTACCGAGAAAGCTGGGTGTAGCCTTCCACTTCTTCTTTTGGATATTTCATGAGACATTAACTGAAGGATAATAAATGTTGCTGGTCATGGTGACATTGGTTTGTGGTCAATGGATTCAGTTTTGGATGTGTTGTGTTTCCATTGTCTGTGACTGCCCAAGGATATACATCTTTATAGGAAATGAGTACTTGTAGCTATGGAGCACATTGTTTAGGCTTGGGAAAATGCCAGGTCACATAGTTTTCATCTTAGAGTAAGAACATTATAGAGCTGAGCATGGTAACCAACATTTAAGGGACGAGGTATCAAGAAAGGTCTGGTGTGTGATGTAACAATCAGAAATATTAAAAGAACAAGGACATAACAGTCATGGAAATCATCAAAGGAAGAAGTCTTAGGGAAAAGTACTTAACAGTATAAAATAGTACATGATGTCAAGAAAGGCACTTGGACATCTCTTGTTATCATGGTGTTGGTGGTGGTCATGAAATTCATCACCATTGCTTAGAAGTGTCTCAGAATAGAAGACAATCCATGTCAGATATCAAGAGACTGGAATTCTAGTTCTCCTATAGTTGCTTGTTTTTTTTTTTTTTTTTTTTAAAGATTTACTTATTTATTTATACAAACACTGGGTACAGTCAGAAGCACGGGAGGTACAGTCAGAATTCACCAGAGCCAGAGCGGGGAACAGAACAGGCAGACTGATGAAATACACTGCTGAGGGGAGCAGCGGGCGGCAGGAGAGGTCTGTTCACCATGTTGGACCCTTGTGGCCATGTGGCCGGGGATCGAACCAGCACTTCGGAGGCTGCGGGCAGCATTGCAGCCCAGCGCTCAACCGCTGTACCACCAGGGGAGGCCCTCCTATAGTTGCTTTTTTAACCTTGTCAGGTAACCTTTTAAAGCCACAATTTTTTTCACTTATAAAAATTTCTCATATTTTGTGAACTCTACATTAGAAAGTATATGAACATTTTGAAAAGCCTGATGTGTTAGTTGTATGTTTAATTGTATAACAATAAAACACCCATAACTTAATATAAAAATACTTGTTTTAAGATACTAAATTTCATTTTAGAAACAGTTATAAAAAAGCTTTGTTCTACTTTCTGCAACTTTGTGCATTGTCAGTAAAATGACAGAATCTTGAAACTTTCTACTCAGTCTTGTTTCAATAATAACCAAATACACAGTTTTATGGCTTGTGGATAAATGTAATTATAAAAGGATTTCATCAGGCATTTCTAGTAAGCATTGCTTCTTCAGTACAAGTAACATAAAGGAAAAGGATTTGAAGTGAAAAGACATAGAACTTGACCTAAGGAACAGGTTACTTTCAAGTAGTTATGTCCAGTTTGGTTTCTACTCAGCTATTGAACTAAATTTTACTAAAATACATTTTGAGTGCATACCATACAATCAGTGAAATATACCATTAATTCTGCTTCTTCAAATTATGAAAAATATATGTGTTCTATACAGTCAATACTCAACAAAGGAAAATACGTGTGATTTTTAATTTGGAAGAATGTTTTAGATGTTAGACTGTAAATATTACCAATGTCCCTTAATTTTGGTATATTTTTAGATTGTCTGTCATGGAAGCTGCAGATTTATATCCTCATGACTTGGAGTGCATGGGAGATTGGAGCTTAAAACAAGGAATTTTTTTCAGATAATGTATTGGCCTGAAGACATAGTTTTTGCTAGCAAAATAAAAAGGGAAGGACATAGAGAACATGAAAATCAGATTCATTTGTTGTGTATTCCCTTGTCAGTGCTCAGAACGTAGGTAACAGATAGAAGAAACAACAATTGTTTATATTACTGTGAATTCACTGTGTACCAGGTGTGGACTGAATGCTTTGTATATACCCTCTCATCATATCTTCCTAGTAATTTTAGGAGTGATTTACTAGCACTTACTAAGACTTTCACAAATTGAGAATCTGGGATGTTGAGGTATTACATAACTCCTTCAAGGTGACCTGCTGGTCAGTGGAGGAACAGGCATTACAGCTGGGATATCTCCAAATCGAGGACATACATTCTGTCCTAAATTGCTTACTCTGCTGAAATCAAGGATAAACCGGAGATTAGTTTTTTTTAGATTCTGATATACTCAGTCTACAAATCATCAAACTTTTGGAAGCATAGGTCTTTTTGTGTTGCTTGCTACAGATTCTGCAGTGCAGTGTAAAATGATGCCCATCCTCCATTAATTAAACAAGCAATTACATTTTGCTTGCTCTGTGCCTAGCACTGTTCTGTACATTTTACAGATAAGATCCACTGGATGCTCAGACATAGAGATTATTGCCTCAGTTTGAATAAAGGATGTGGTTGCATTCAAACCTAGACAGTCTAGGTAAAGTGTGCTTCTTAGTCCCTGTGGTAAGGGACTCTCAGGTGGATTGGGGAAGAAAATCCAAAGCACACATTGATTAAAAAAAATATGAAATTGTCATGTATTGAGGAGCTAAATTATGATGCAGATATGACTTTTTATGCATTCAAGCACTAAATTATGTTTAGAGTTTAGAGATGAATAACAATCATGGAGTACTTAGAAAAATCTTCTTGAATGAGATGAAGTGGGGATAACATTTTTTTTCTTTTAGTTTTATAATACAGAAACATTTTTATCAATCCCAAAATAGGAAATCCCTGCACGCTAGCAGTCACCTCCCATGCTACATAGTCACTAATACATTCCTGGCTATAGATTTATCCATTCTGGACATTTCATAAATGGAATCATACAGAATGTTGTCTGTGTGACTAGTTTCTGTTACTTAGATCATTTTCTATGATTCATCCATCTTTTAGTATGTGCCAGTGATTTTACCCACTATATTGTAGAAAATATTCTACTGTATGGATTTACTACGTATTTATCTGTCGAACACTTGATGGAAACTTGTGTTTTTCCTATTCTTTTTCTATTTGTATTATAAAAATGCTACTGTGAACATGTGTCTACAGTTTTGGTGTGGGCATATGTTTGCATTTTTCTTGGGTGGATAGCTGGGTGTATAGTTACCGAGCCACATGCTAACTGTGTTCAACCTTTTAGGAACTGCAGGCTATTTTCCAAAGCAGCTGTGCTGTTTTATGCTTCTGCCAGTTGTAAGAGGGTTCCAAATTCCCCACATTTGCAACAAACCTTATTTTTTTCAGTGTTGAGATATAATTGATATATACCATTGTATGAGTTTAATCACATAATGATATGTTGGCTGTATATAATACAATATTGCAAAATGATTACCATAATCCATTTAGTTAACATCCACCACCCACATAGTTATATTTTTCCCCCTTATGATAAGGTTTTAAGATTTACTCTTCTAGCAACTCTCAGATATATAATACAGTATAGTTCACAGTGGTCATCATGTTGCAAATGACATCCCCAGAACTTAGTTATAACTGCAAATTCATACCTTTTTACCACCTTCACCAGCATACCCCACTCCCTCAGAGGAGAGTCTCTATTTCTTTGAATTTGGTGTTTTTAGATATCACAAGTGTACAGTATATATACTTGGTTTGTTTTTTTTTTCCCCCCCTTCAAAAAATCTATCATTTCATGACAAAACTAGCAAATGGAGTAGAAACAGTGCAGGTAACCATAGGAAGTATTCAATAACATTGCAGGAAACACAGGGATGTTTTTAGCAGAGAGACCAACTAAAGAGTTTCAGATATTTAAATTTTCAGTAGTGGTAGGCAACATGAAAGAATTCTTTCTAATCCACCCAGTAATCTGGAAGGGGGCATTTCTGGCACTTGTTGTGAGGACCTTTTTTTTTTTTTTTCAATTGCAGAAACATTGATATCATCATTGTTTGTGCTTTATTTAAATAGGATTTCCCACTTTACATGTTGTTACTATACTGCATCCTCCCCCAAAACACCCATAGTCCACTGCCATAGTCCACTGTGCTCCCTCCCCTTTTCTTTCTGATGACCTCATTTCTATAGTCTGCCTTCTACGGTTTCTTGTTTGGCTTTATCTGACCCTGGGTTTCTCTATGTTCTGCATTTAAGTGATGCTATAAGTAGTATGTGTCTTTCTTCTCCTGATTTACTTTGCTTGGCATAATCCCCTGCAGCTCCATCCATGTTGCTGCATATGGCAAGAGCTTATCTTTTTTGATACTTGAATAGTATCCCATTGTGTGTATATACCACATCTTCCCAATCTACTCATCTGTATGGGTGCCAAGGTTGTTTCCATAGCTTAATTCTTGCACATAGTGCTGTAGTGAACACAGGAGTAGATGTTTCCCTTCTAACTAGTGTTTTTGTAATTTCCAGGTAGATCCCTCTGAGTGGAATTGCTGAGTCTTATGGTAGATCGACTTTTAATCTTTGGAGAAACCACAATCCTGTTTTCCATAGGGACTGAACCAGTCCATATTCCCACCAGCATTGTGGGAGGGTTACTCTTCTCTCACATTCTCATCAACACTTGCTGTTTCAGGTCTTTTTTTATGTGGGCCATTGGCATAGGTGTGAAGTGGAATCTCATTGTGATTTTGATTTGCATTCCCTGACAATAAGTGATAAAGAACATCATTTTCATAGACACGTGTATGTCTTCCTTGGGGAAGGTGTCTATTTAGCGCTTCTACCCATTTTTTGATTGGGTTGTTTTCATTTTATTGACTTGTGAGTTTGTCATTCTTGGATATCAGCCCCTTGTTGGATGTATGCAAATATTTTCTCTCTTGCAGTTGAATACCTTTTTGTTTTAATTATAGTTTCACTATGAGAAGCTTTTTAGTTTGATGTAGTACTGTTTATTTATATTTTCTCTCATTTGCCTTGGTGTTAGATACAAATCCACCAAGATATTTTTAAAGCCTCTGTCATGGAGTATTTTGCCTATGTTTTCTTCTGTGTATTTATTGTTTCAGGTCTTATAACTAAGTCTAATATTTTTGAGTTGGTTTTGTCTATGTTGTCAGTTAGTGGCCTATTTTTATTCCTTTGCATGTGGTTGTCCATTTTCCCAACACCACTTGTTACATAGACTCTTTACAGTATATATACTTACTGTTTTTGTAAAATGACATCCTCCCTTTTTGTAAAGTGACTTCCCCCCCATATTTTTTTAAGATTTATTTTATTAATACAAGTGCTGGGGCACAGGCCAGATGTGCGTGAGGGTGAGAGGATTCACCAGGGGGATCCTACAGTGTATATACTCTTGAGTCTTCTGTCATTGATTAATTGTCCATAGACATGCAGGTTTATTTCTGGGATCTCAGTTCTATTCCATTGATCTATGTGCCTGTTTTTGTCCTAGTACTATATTGCAATTACTATAGCTTTGCAGTATCATTTGCAGTCTAAGAATAGGATATCACCATTCTCTTTATGTCAGGATTTCTTTGCCTATTCAGGGTCTTTTGTTCATTTCATATGAATTTCAGTTAAGTTCTATTTCTTTGAAGAATGCCATTGAAATGTTGATGGGAGTTCCACTGAATGTGCGTATTGCTTTGGGTGGGGGGAAGTTTTAAGTTGGAGCCTGAGTCAGAATTCCTGGAGAAGTTTCCCTACTCTTCTGACATGTTTATTTGTATTGTTTTTACAAGTGTTGTTTAAAAGAAATGTAAGGTACTCATGTCATTTTAAGTTGCCTAGTAGCCACATTAAATATATAACATATAAGATATATTAACTATATATGTTTATATAGTACATATATGTATGTATGTATTATATATAAATAAGTGCAATTAACTTACTAATTTATTTCATTTAAATCCACATATTCAAAAAATTTCAACATGCAATCAATATTATAATATTGTGATTTTTAAATATACTTTGTACTAATTCTTCAAGGTCTGGTATATATTTTATACTTACAACTCATTTTAATTAAGATTAACCACATTTCAAGTGCTCATTAGCCACTAGCTAATTGGGTGACATAGTCAGGCCTATTTATTATAAGTAGCAATACTCTCCTGGCACGTGGTGTTCCCAGAAATTAGCTGTAGGATTCATAGTGGTGGGAAACATCTTATTACTTTATACTGTCAAAACTGAAAATACGCAAATGTTTCAGATTCCACATATGTGAATATGTTTCTAATGTACAAATTAATGTTGTGCTTGACAGAGCGGAGGACCCAGGAAAGTATTAAAGAGGGAATGTTGAAGATCAAAGAAGAACCCTCTAAAATACTATCTGGAAATAAATTTCAAGACCGGTATTTTGTCTTACGAGATGGGTATCTCTTTCTCTACAAGGATCTGAAGGTATAGTACAAGTCGTTTTTGAACACACACATACACACACACACACACATTTTGTGTGTGTGTATTAGCATTCTTATTTTCTCTCTCCCTGGCCTTCTCTTTCAGAAATCAAGGCCTGTGGTAAGTAACTTGTTCAGTGGCTGATGGATTTTTTGCTGGGGGACATGCCTTTCATGCACTTAGTAACGCACTGAAGAACTTTATGTGGCCTTTCTGAGCACTTCACATTTTTTAGGGTAGACAATTACTTAAGTCCAAAAGAAAAATATTACATAAACGAGCATATAAATCAGCATCTCAGTCAACAAAATTAAAGAGAGTAAGTTGTGCCTTAAGGCAAGGTGGCTTGAGTTTAGCTAATGTAAATTAATATAATGTGGAATAAAAAGGCAAAGTGCAAATACTGAAGTAAGTCTGATTAATATTATTACCTCTATGTTTGAACAAATAGATGCATGCAATATATTTTTTAACTGAAGCTTAGTGATGTATTCCTATTAGTTTGAATTTCCTAAAAGCTATTATTAAAGAATTATGGAATAAAGAAAAGTAGAGATGAAAATTAGGGAATAGATAATGATGCAATCATAGGATATTGAGCTTAGATCAGAAAACCTGAAATCCACTAAGAGTTGATTGTGTGAATAAGTAACTTAACCTCTCAACTTCAGTTTCTTAATCTGTATGATAGTATGAGTCCTGTGTGCTAGGTTATTTTAATGTTTAAGAATATAAGTAAAAACCCCTCTTAAACTATAAAATATCATAGATAAATATGTATGTAATAATAATCATCAAAAAGTCTCCACTAAGAATATGAATAAGGGCCTCCCCGGTGGCACAGCGGTTGAGCGCTGGGTTGCGAAGCTGCCCACAGCCTCTGCAGCACCGGTTCGATCCCCGGCTGCTCCCCGGCCACCTGAGGAGGGTCCCACATGGCGCGCAGACCTCTCCTGCCGCCCGCTGCTCCCCTCAGCAGTGTACTTTGGTCCTTCTGCCTGCTCTGCTCCCCGCTCTGGCTCTGGTGAATTCTCTCACCCTCCCACGCTTCTGACTGTACCCAGTGCATGTATAAACAAAACAAACAAACAAACAAATAAATAAATAAAAAAATATGCCTCTATTAAAAAAAAAAAAAGAATATGAATAAGCTAGCTGCATGATGAAAAAAATATTTTTAAAGTACATGTATCTGAAAAAAGAACTTTCATCCAGAATATATAGAATTCTGCCAAATCAACAGTGAAATGGCAACCCAATAAAAACTGGGGCAAATTATTAAATAGACACTACATAAAAGAAGATGTTGAATGACTGATAAGCCGTTAAAACAAACATGTTCAATATCTCTAGTCATCAGGGAAATGCAATATAAAACCATGAGATACTACTTTATACTCATTGGTTTATGATTAAGGGCATAAGTATGATAACACCTGATGTTGACAAGGATGTTGACTAACTAAATCTCTCTTAATGTCTCTCTCTTAAATTGTTTATTGTAGGTAAAAATCATGTAATTACCGTGTAGAACTATTTGACAGTTTAAAAATTTTTTTTTTCATTTACCAAACAACCCAGCACTATTCTAGGTAGTGTGCCCACAAAATCAGATGTTCAGGAATGTTCACAAGCAGCTTTATTCATACAAACTAAAACCTAATATACATACCTAATGTCTATTAACAGAATGATGTATTCATGCAGTAGAATAATACTTGCCAATAAAAATGAATAAATACTAATGCATGCAACAACATAATTTATGTTCCAATCCTTGTTGAGCAAAAGAAGATCAACACAAAATAGTGTGCCAAATGAGTCTGTAAGAATTCTAAGGACAGGTCATAACTGTTTACAGTGATAGCAGTGAGAAACTGTTTGGGGAATGGTTGCTGCTGGTTAGTAAGAAACTTTTCTAAGATGATAGAAATAAATTTCTCTGTCTGGGATTATATGGTGGGTGTATGGGGGTATATAGTAACATGTCTACTTTCTCTACAATACCTATGCATTTATTTTAAATGGAGAAAAACAAAAGGACTTAGAGACACTTTTTTCTATTGAATAATAAACTTCGCTTGAGAAAGCATTGCTTGCATCCTTGAAGTATGTGGTGCTTGCTTATGTTTTGTTGTGGAGTTATACAAAGAAAGACCAGACTAGTAACATATGTTAATATGTTATAAGGAAAGATTAGGCAGCTTTCCAAAACCTTGCAGCCCCTACTGGCTTCTGCTGAGCTCTCCACAGACGTGGACCACTTTCTCTGTATGTGCCTTCAGCAGGGAGGTCTCCATGTGGCACAGATCTTTGTAGCATCACTGCCTTGTGTATACATCTAGATTCTCTTTCCTCAACGACTGTGGAAGCCCAGGCAGGAGGCTAACAAAACAGCACTGACCTTTGGAGCTCTAATTCATCTAATCACAGAGCTATTTTGTGTGCAGTACTTAGAGCGTTCCACCTTGTTATTCCATCTTATCCACACAGCAGGGGAGTCTCTGTGGCTAGGGTAGCAAGTTATTGTTACCATTTATTATCATCCTTCAGTGTTCTCATTGGAGGGAGAATGGTTTGCAGAAGGCAGGGACATAAGAATTTGAGATTCTGTGAACTAACACCATTAGATTTCCAAGTTCATGACCTTTAGGTTTGTATTCATGCAAGTAAATGCTAGACTTTGAGGTTGATATTCTAGCCATCTAGAATTGAATCTGATGGAATTTCATTTGGTTTTCTTCAGTAGGTCATCCACCTTGATCTTCATTAGACTGTCTTTCTTAATCTTTGCCCTTCCATTTCATTGTTAATTAATGGTCACTTTAGTCATTGGATGTTTTCTTTGTAGTCCCGTCAAGGAATTGACATTTCCATTGTGTAGTAAATGATCACTATAAACAACCAATAGGCGTTAGTATTAGAAGTAGCAGTGTAGTCATAACAGCAGCAGCTAATATTCAAGTAATTTTTTTTTTATGAAAAGCAGAGTTCTCTACATTTCACTTGGATTATCTCATTTAGTCTTTACAATAACCCCACGAAACTGGTATGATTATTATTCCTACTTTATGGAGGAAGAAATAGAACCTCAAAGATAATTCATTACCTTCTAAAGCACACATGCCAGCCAGTGCTAGAATTTAATCACAAGTGTCTGGTTCCAAAGGCTCTATGCAGGGACTTATTAAGGAATCTTAATTTTGAATTATTTTAGCTTGATGTTTTTAGTTAAAGAATTTTATTTAAAGAGGATCAGTTTTTTACTTGAATAAATATCAGATATTTTCAAATGTGACATTCCAAAAATTCAGTTTTTATGGTGTTTTGGTCTAAATTGATGGAACCCTATTCATAGAGAAGTATTTTTTTTTTTTTTTGCAGGCATTGTTCTTGTGAGATAAGAGATCTCATACCCCTTCATAGTATAGGTATTTTTTTAAGTGCATCGTTAAGAAAAAATGCTATTCAATCTAAGCTAATTCATATAAACTGGCAGATGGTGATAGTATCAAGAGCTTGTCTGAAAGTCTGCTCTTTTTTACATTTGAAAAATTTTCCCAACTTTATTGAGGTATAATTGACAAATGAAAGTTGTATATAGTTACATTGTACAACATAATGTTTTGACATAAGTGTACTTTGTGAAATGATTACCAAGTTCAAGCTAATTAACACAAGCATTACCTCACATAATTATTTTTCTCCTTGTGGAAAGATCTGTCTGTTCTCTGAGCAAATTTCAAGTATACAAAACTGGATTGTTAACTGTGGTCACCATGATGTGCAATGCATCTCCAAAATGTCTTCATCTTGCGTAACTGAAGCTTTGCACCCCGTGCCCACATTCTCCCTACTTCTCTACCCTCACCCCTTCAGCCCTCGCCACCACTTTCTCCCCTCTGCTTCTAAGAATTTGGCTTTTTTAGTTTCTACATATCAGGGCAGTCATACAATATTTGTCAGACAGTGTTCCTTTTTATCACAGTGATTTCAGGCTATGGAATTATAGTCATAATTATTAAGTGTTTGAAAGTTATATTTGTACATCTGTCAAAACAAATTAACACAACAAATACTGACACATTAAGGCAAGCAGATGAGAACCTGCACATTTTCTTTTAACTCAAACTATTTTCAATACATGATTTTATTTTGCTTGTTAATTTTTCATGTTGCTGGTCTGTCCCTTTTTCATTTGTATTGGTTGAGTCATTGGCAGTGCTAGCTTTTCAAAAATGATTTTACAGTACATGATCAATAGTAAAAATCCCCTAAATTATTTGAATTAAGAATTGGCTCTCGTTTTGACAGTTGCCATGAATATATGTGTGCTTGTATATATTTAGAAAATGATTTACTGAGAAGGGAGTAGAAATTACAAATTGAGAAGTATATTTAAAGAGACTATGTGTTAATTAGAGATAATTTATGAATGCTCATTAACAACAAATTAGGGTAATACACAGGGGAAGATATATTTTGTTTTTTGAGAGTTTTCCTTGCTCATAAAATGTTAATTAAAATGTTTTCAAACCTGATTTACATAAAAGGTGATAAGTTTCAAAGAATATTACCATTATACTGTTAATGGTGTGAAAAAAGCAAATGGGTGAGAGGGGTTGTTAAAAATTGAATGCACTAATACGTAAATTCCTTTTAGTCACAGAATAATTTTTTAAGCACACTAATTTAATTGACTTGGTTAATAACTTTATTTTGAAATATAGTGCCTGAAGCAATACATATAAACTTTGTAACACTTCAATATATTGAATTTTGTCAAAATTCTCCAGAAAATACATATACCCATGTACCAAAATAGAGTTGTAATAAGCCAACAGTAAAGTTTTCTTGCCAAACAAGATTTCTTTCTATAGAACTTTCATTGGGATCCTTATAGTTTCTCTCTATGCATAGCCAATGTGAAAATTGCTACCTAAAATACTTCTTCCACCATTGCTGATCGCCTCTCAAATTATGTCATTTGTCTTTTTTTG